GAGTGAGTGGAGTGAGTGGAGTGAGTGGAGTGAGTGGAGTGAGTGAGTGAGTGGAGTGAGTGGAGTGAGTGGAGTGAGTGGAGTGAGTGAGTGAGTGGAGTGAGTGGAGTGAGTGGAGTGAGTGAGTGAGTGAGTGGAGTGAGTGAGTGGAGTGAGTGGAGTGAGTGAGTGAGTGGAGTGAGTGAGTGAGTGAGTGAGTGGAGTGAGTGAGTGAGCGAGCGAGTGAGTGAGTGAGAGTGAGTGAGTGAGAGTAAGTAGAGTGAGTGGTGAGTGAGGTGAGGTGAGGTGATTCTTGTCGCAGCATTTACAATGCGATTCCGAACCGGCGAGAACCAATACTGTGGAAATTACAATGGCAGTAGTGCACAGACACAGGGTGCGCACATCCTTGCCGCAGCCATTACAATGCGATTCGCAGCCTGTCACAACCATTGCTTTGCAAATTTCAATGGCAGTAAAGAACCGCAGGGGCCCCCAGCGGCGACCACGCCGCGGGCCCTTCTGCAGTCTCCGGAGACTGCGCCGGCCACTGCGGAGAGCGCCGGGCCCCCAGCGGCGACCACGCGCGCCGCAGCCCCTTCTGCAGTCTCTAGACACTGCGGAGTGAGTGCGTGGGTGGGTGGGTGAGTGGAGTGAGTGAGTCTCTGCAGACTGCTGGGAGTGTGAGTGTGCAGTGAGTGAGTGAGTGAGTGAGTGGAGGAGGGGGCGAGGAGGACGGAGGGAAGGAAGGAAGGAAGGAAGGGCGGATGCGGGCGGGATGGCAGCCAACAAAACTAGAACCACACACAGAGATGTGGGGAATTAGGCTAAAGCTCTTCCAAAGAAGCGTTCTTGTTTCAATTCGTTCTTGTTTCAACTTGCGCAGTTGAATCCACGCCTGGGTTTGTGTTCAACATCTTGTCGATGTCTCCAGGGTATCCTGCAATGATGATGACCACGCCTGACTCAAAGAACTTCCATGCCCTGCTAACATATACAAGCCAAGAGCGTATGGAGTTGGTATGGCCCAAATGCAACACGTGTAAAAAACGAGCCTTCTATCGCGCGCGCGTGGTATTTTGCCGCTCTCTCAATTCTAACAAGGCCAGAAGGATACTCGAAGAGAACGTATAATGAAGAAATCAAGCAAAATGAAGCCCGTGAACCCAAATGAACACAGACCTATGCGGAGAGGGAACATTCTTAAAAGCCACGCACGCATCAAGTATTGAAAGCAAATATGTTGTTCCAGACTTCCTCCAGAAGTCAAACTGCGAGTCCTCCAAAAGTGCAGTGGGAAGCCTCATCAGAGCAAGCGCATCCCCGAAAAGGCTTGCCAGCACGCCGCACCCCCAACGGCACAGTGACAACCACCTGCACCAAACGTCGCAGCCTCACCATTCCCTGCGCCTGCCAATGCAAACTGCCTCCCCCAACACGTGCACATGTACGAAAGCCTCGCCAAATAGATCCCTCAAAATCGGAATTTGGGCTGAGACTTGCGCAGCGACAATGGGACACCTTCGAAAGACCACCTTGAGGACACCAATGGCAGGGGGATGCAAAGCGCTCACCTTCTCCAAAAACGGCTTGTGGTTCTCACTGTGAAAGGTTCCGGACGGCGGCGAACGGTTGCGACCACGCCGCATAGCTCAACGAGAACCGTTCGCTACGCATTTGGGAAGAAAAGAATGTCTAAAGCGCTCTGTCTTTTCTTCCAAAGCACTCTTCCGAGAGACTCGAGCCTTTGTACTTCGGATCTGTCATGGCCGCCACAATGGCTGTACAGGCCTCATCAAAGGGCCAGCGGGCGCTGTTTTTCTGTTTACTTATTGCTGTTTTAATTTTACGGTTCTTGCGGCTCTTTCTTTCTTTCCTTCCTTCCTTCTTTCTTTTTCTCTTACTTCTCTTCAAAAAAGGTTGCTTTTTGTTTATCGTGTTGAAGATTAATGCAAAGTCTTTCAAGAGCATTCTTAAGGCCACAACCTCTGCACCGAAGCGCCCTTTGCCCAGTTCATAAGCCTCATCAATGAAGAGAACGCCACCTTTGGCCGCCTCACTTTGTCAAAACACAAAGAGTTTGCCAGAAACAAATATTTTTTTGCATTTTCTTACCTTTTTAGTTTGCTGAGCCCGAGATCGGCAAACACTGCCACGACGCGACTCTACACGAGCTTGCGGCCAGGAACGTCCAGCTTCTCTTCCACCTTCTTTTTCGTTTGCCCCACATACTCGCCAGTCAGGTTCAGCCCCGAGGTTTCTGGACAGTGGACGAATCGTTGGCGCCGAAAAGCAGTAACATGAAGCTATTAGTAACAGGTGCCACGCTACTAGGAACAAGTGCCTTACTAGTAGTAACAAGAAGCTATTAGAAACAAAAAAGGAAACCATCCAGCTCCTTGTACGTTCTCACTTCCAAGAAGGCGAAGCTGGAACAGAATCCTGTGACTCACATGGCACATGGCCTTCAAATTCTTTCTCTGTTATGCTTAACTAAAACCAAAGAGATAGCAAAACCCACAGTTTAAAGAGACTCCTGGCCATAACACGTGCCACTGTAGTCTTCCCAGTGCCAGGCGCCCCGGTGAAGACGAAGTGACCCAGCTCAGGCAACTCCGAGCCCTCCTGAAACGCCATAAAGCACATCTCTCTTCCAACCCAATAGCGATGGCCTCCAACCTGAAAGCAATGGCCTCCAACCCAACAGCGGTGGCCTCCAACCTAATAGCCAGGGCCTCCAACCTAATAGCAATGGCATCCAACATGATGGCAATGGCCTCCAGGCTAACTTGAGGCCAGGGGGAGGAGGTCGAAAGCTAGCCAAGTCGCACCGGATGTACTACAGTAGTTACATAGTCGGCAAAGCATGTAGTGATTACATGTTTTGGGAGAAAGGTTGCTACGTACATACTTTGCGCTAAAGAATGTACATGTGACATCTCCGACTGGGAAGGGTACATTGGAACTCGTTGGCAGGCACGAAGATGCGTGATCGGCAAATCTGGGGGTTAAGTTTACCCCCCGCTTTTGTATGCCTTGAGTCGGAAAGAGGGGTAAGCATTTCTGACATCACACGGACTGTCCATACACTAGGGCGTCCTTAGTGTAGGAGAAGCACGGGTAAAAGGTATATGGAATAGAGTGTCTTGAGGAAATAGCCGGCTTATGGTTATTGCAAATCTGGGGGTTAAATTTATCCCCCGCTTTGTATGCCTTGAGCCGGAATGAGGGGTAAGCATCACAAGGACTGTGCATACACTCGGGCATCCGTAGTGTAGGATAAGCACTGGTAAAAGGTATCAGGAATAGAGTGTCTTGAGGAAATAGCCGGTGTATGGTTATAGCAAACCTGGGTGGTGAATTTACTACCCGCTTATGCATGCATTAGGTTGGAAATAGGGGTCAACAGGTAGTCAAGGTTGTAGCACACGAAGTCTCAACCGCTGATGGCGTACGATCGTGGTCGACCGATCCCACACACTTGTGTGGGGGCTAGGGCGGCGTAGCCGCTGACTCTTTTCACGCTCGAGCAGCCCGCCGCTGCGGGGTTTGGTTAAGTGCATGAACATGCCTCCAAGTGTATGGATACACTTCACATTGGGGCAAAAGTGAAAAGCAAGGCTGGAGAATTTCATCTCCCACAGTCCTTGCACACTCGCCATCGCTTGGCGTTCTTGCTTACACCAAGGTGGCCACAGTTGATTCGCAGGTGCGCGCAAGCACCTGTTGGGGTCGTGAAGACCTCTTCCGGCATGTGGCTGTAGGTCGCCAGTCCAGTCTCTTTCTTCTCGCGCTTTTGCAGAAGCGCTGACAGATAGGAGACTTTCCTCTCCAACTCTCTCACCTGCGCCTGTAGGCTCTCATTCTTCTCCACCAGCTCGTTCACAATGTTTCCCATCACGTCGTCCTCCTCGCCGTGATCGATCGGCTCCAGCTCTGGCACTGGTTCATCTTCGCTTTCATCGGCCGGTTTGGCCTTCTTTGCCCTTGGCTTGCACTTCCAAGCCATCATGAAGATCGCCAAGATCATCAGCATGATCATCAGGATCGTGGCCAGGTCAAAGAGGTCGTTGTTGATGGACACGTGTTCAATGTCAGTCTTGCATTGATCCTCTCGTCCACTTGCGCTGGTCACTTGAGATGTCATCACCATCCCAATGAGCGCTTCTGCCACCTTCGAGGATGTTCTCCTTGTCTCTTGAACTGTCTTTTGGCGCTCCTCTTGACTCTTCTTCTTTGCTGCTTGGTAGGACTCGTCGGCGACCAGCTGGATGTAGTGTCCCTTATATCTCTCTGTGAAGGCCTGTCGGGCGCTGATCTTCGTCAGCCCATCAGCTAGCTGTCGCTCCGATGAGACCCATTGCCAGCTGCAATTGAGGTCTCTCAATGTCTCCTTTATCACAAGCCCTTCGATGGCAACTCTTTTGTCTGTTGCCTGTTGGATGGTCTCTCTGTAGACCGCATCATAGAGGGCCTTGCAGTCCGTCACCATGGCGCTCACGCCTGTCAGATGGTCCTTGAAGTTCTTGAGGTCGCAGTCCGGCTTCTTCAGTGCTTCGAGGAAGGTCTTGGCCATGAGCAGCTCTTCCAATGCTGTGGCTGTCGCTTGACACTCAGCACCCAAGCTGCTCCTGCACACACGGGGCAACTTGAAGGATCTCCAAGCCACAGTGCTTGCCGGGACCTTGATGCCATTGTGAACGGCTTTGTCGCAGGCCATGATGATGAATCCTCCTTGCGATGATCCATCCCTTCGGGTTCCGAAGCCAGCGTCTGCATAGCATACCAGGGTCATGTTCTCCAGGCTGTTGATGATGCTCTTGTTCTCATCAATCTCCTTGGCCAGGAACTTGATCGTCACATCTCCTTGGCTCTTGCCAAATCTCAAGGTCTTGTTCAGCTCATTGACATCCTGAACTGTTCCCTTGGGAACTGCACCAGCTTGCAGTGACACTGATGCTGCCAACATTGGCATGCCCTGTGAACTTGGCCATTGTAGAGCTCCAATGAGTGCACGATATTTTCCTGTCTCACTTGGGCTCATCTCATCACTAGGCTTTCGTCCCTTGTTCACGGTGATCGGGCACAGCTTCCTCATGTAGTCGTGGTAGGAGACCTCGATGCCATACTTGGTCTTGTAGATCTGTCCACCACAGTACTTGAGGGGCTGGTCAATGCCCAGGCGTTCCCACTTGCCAAAGTTAAAGTCACTCTGGAGGTGTTGGATCGCCTTCTTGTACTTGTCGTTGCTAGGATCACCAGTGATCAGGATGTCGTCCACATGGATCACCAGCATTCCGATCAGGACTGCTTTTCCTTTCACCTTCTCGTACATCATGAAGCAGCACTGGTCAAGGGGGTGGTTCTTCCATCCACGGGATGTCAGTCGGCTGGATGCTTCTCGATACCACATCAGTGGTGCATCAGCTAGACCATAGGCTGATTTCTTCAGCTTCATGTAGATGTGTCCTTCAGGTCCGATTTTGTCACCTCCGATCAGCGGGTTGCAGTCCTTCGGCAGCTTCACGATGATCACTCTATCGAATCCACTGCCAGACAGAAAGGCTGCTTTCACATCTCCGCAGATCAATTCCCAACGGTTCCAGTTGGTGATGCTCATCAGCAGAAACAATCTTGCCAAGCGGCTTGTTGTTGGAGCCGCGGTCTTGATGTTCAGGAGGTCGGGATCTTCAAAGCCTCGTAGGACGAGTCTTGCCTTCGCCTTGTAGCGGGGTGGCTCTTCGGGTTTGTCCTCATTGAGTCGCTTCCAGGTCAACACCCATCTTGCGGTGATCACTCTGTGGGTGTTCACGGCTTTCTGGCTCTCCTGGTCTGTGGCGAACTCCCAGACCATGTTTTGGAAGTACTGCTCCAGCTCCGAGCACTTCATCAGGCGTCAGGTGCCTCATGTTGACTTCTCCTTTGCGCAGGTTCTGCATCACATAGATCTCGTCAAGCTCGAAGGATCCATCCACCAGCTTCCATCCTTCTGGCAACTATACGCCCTCATTCGCCACCACAAAGACCTCGTCAATCACCAGTTCATCATCTGTTGGAACAGGGATTGCTTCCGGCTTCAGCTGTCGGTGGTGATGGTCCACGAGGATTCTTTGCGGGTCGTTCTTCAGCAGGATCGTGATCCTTTCTCTTTGGAGAGCTCTCAGCTTGTCGCTCCTGCTCTGGCTCGGCAGGTGCAGCTGTTGGGGCATCTGATGGAGGTCCATGAGGGATGACAGGTCCTCGTCGAGGAGATCTCTCTCGATCTTCGTGTCGTGGACGGGGTAGGATTGCCTGCGCAATTCCAGGCAAAATGTTGTGCTGCATTTCTGGGTCGTCCTGCGCGTCATCATCCTCATCCATCGCCTCTGGCTGATAGTCAGCCTCGAGATCACCATCCCAATCCTGGTACTCCATGTCCTTGGGGTCGATGCCAGCACGCTTCATCTCGTCACGAAATTGGGTGGTGGATCTAGCCTTGAGCTCCTCCAGGTCTCTCATGGCTGCTGCACGGTCGATGGGCACAAAAGCTCCACTGTCTTCCACCAGTGGCCGAACTTGTTGAGGTGCACAACGGACAAGTGAAGTGCCATGGCATAACCAAAGAACTCTGGCATCACCATTGTCCTCAATCGCGACCACACGTGCCGGCCCACGCCATCGGGCCTTTCGAAGGATTCCGGCTCCGGCATTTCTCCAGTACCAGCATTGCTGACCAACCACCAAACTCTCCTTCTGCTCTTGGAACTTCTGGGTGAAAGCTCGACGAAGTTTGGCGTCCGAGTCGGCAGCGATGAAAGCCTTAGCCGCTGCTGCCCTTCGTTGTTGCACTTCTGCAAAGACACCTTGCTCGTCGAGTGCATCTTGTCCAGGATTGAAGAGCTCGCCGGACAAGCCATGCACATGGGTCATCACCTTTCCGAAGACCCATTGTTGTGGGCTGAAGCCCTTGTGGAAGCTCAACTGGTTCACGGCATGGGGCACGTAGACGGCAGCTTCCTTAAGTGATGCTTTGTCGTGCTTGCCAACTTCATCTTGATATAGCTCCAGGCATCTCCTGATGACCTGATGCTTCCGCTCCACCACGCCAAGCCAAGAATGTTGTTCGGCAGGTTGTAGTTCTAGGGTGATTCCTCTCGAGCTAGCCCATTCACATGCTTTGATGCCCAGCCTTTGGCTTCATCAATTCTCAATATCTTCGGGATGCCAAAGTGCTTCAGCCAACAGCGCTCCAGGCCCTTTGTGAACTCCTCGGCCTTCTCGCTGTTGAGGATCCTGATGGCGCAGTATCTGGTGGCATGATCCACCACGGTCAGCACACAACGCCTTCCCTGAGGGATCTTCTCAGCCTTCTCCTTGTCGCGGCGTCGTGCTGCTGGTGTGCCCGGTGCGGGCAAGGCTGTTTTAATCACTGAGTCATCATTCAGGATCCAGTGAGAGTCAACTTGGATGCGCTCGTTGAACTCTGTGCACTTCAGGGCTGAAGCTGGAGGTGGTTGTTTCGGTCCCTTGCGAGCATAGCAAAGTGGACACACATATTTCTGAGCTGCTTCCAGAACGTCACCAGTGGCCTGCACTTCCTTGAGCATTCGGGTGAGAACCTCCGAGCCACAGTGGCCCAGGTTCTT